TGACTATTGCAAAAGAAAGCAAAGGTAGTATCAATAGCTATAGGAGCCTTAGGTGCAATCCCAAAACATTTAGAGCACCCCGTGAAGACCATCGGCATTGACAGAATCACCATCAGTCAGTTGCAAAAGGCAGCTTTACTTGGAACAGCTTATATCCTGCATCGATACCTTTAGCACCATCAAACAGCAACATCTGCCTCTCCCAGGTCCTTGGGAAGGACTCAACAGGTGGATAAAAATGCCAAACCCAGCCTAAACATCTGGCTGACTGTGCGACCAACAACAACATCAACAATAATACCAAAACAAAACAGATTCCTAATGAAACAGAAATATATTTTCCCTGAGATGGGGAGATTTGTTCAGCTAGAACACTCATCATTCCCTGTGACATGATTAGGGCTTTTGATATGTGACTCAGCACTTAGGAGTGGGGAGCTCATTCCAAGAGATGTGCCTCCGTCTGCTGACTGCACAGCTCATTCAGCTGCTGAAACTCTATGCTGATTTGAGATTGTTAATAATTTAAACAACACTAATGAGATTTCAACAGCAGCAAAACAAAAACACAATCTTCTTGAGGGAGGTCTTCTCCCAGCCTAACTTGAATGTCGCCAGCTAATGGTTTCAGAAATAAGAAACATGGAATGAAATTAAATTTCTTCCTGGTCATAGTTTTGTTCTTACTCGTGACTTGTATTTATTTTCTGTTAACAATCCCCCTAGTTTTTTTAGCCCCCCTTACAGCAGTAGTATCAGAATATAAACTTTCTTTCCAGAACTTGTTTTCTTTTTGTAAGCAATTTGCACAGAGATTGTGCAAGGGCAGGAATTATTAAACTGTCACTCTCCCATCTAAGGTACCCTCAACTACGTGGTAGCTAAAAATATCCCTTCGATTCTTTTCGAAGCATGGATAGCCCTTGTAGCAATTTATTTATTTTACAAAATGCCCCTTAATTGATACATGCAATTAATCTTGATTTCAATTTGTCCTTGAACACCAGTAGCTGAAGTTGGAAAGGAAAGTTATTTTTTGTATCACATCCTGTTGGGAGAGATATTCATTCGCCAATTCCAGAATCAATTATTAGTATGTTATGATGATGGTTTCTATCTTCCACATATCTTTTTCTTCCAGCTACTGTTCCTCCACAGATTTAATTGTGAAACCTTCACGGCTTAGCACATAAAAAAGAGGAGGTGTTTCACTCACACGGTTGCAGCTACCATTTTAATTGTTTTGACCCCCTCTGCCCACCCCCCACATAGATGCCCCTCTTTGGCATCACCAGAACCAAAATGTGGATGAATGGGAAGATTAGGATGGTAGTGATGGGAAAGGAGGGTGAATCCATCTGAAATTTCATATCCCTCCCCACTGCCCTCAAAAGGGAAAACAAATTATCTTCAGAAATGAACGTCTGCACTCGAGTTTGTAATGAACTAAGATTTAAAGACAGCAAAAGCAGATTTATGGCTAGGATCACATATTTTGTTGAAAAAGCCATCATAATTGAGGTCATTATGTGAAAGCAAAGGTATATATTTAAACACGGAACTCTACACAGCTATGTAGAAAGAGAGATGTGACGAATGGCCAAGACAGAAAAAGCATATGGGTCTGTGACTGCAAAGTCCTCCTTCACATGGCTTATTTCTCTAAAATCAATTCCTAACTACCTTCCCCTTCAAACACTTTGAAGTCAGACTCTGGAACTGGAGAAACGTGCAAGAGACTTTTAGCTCCATCTTCTCTCTTGTACTGTATCTTTCTTTATTTCTCCCCAGCTAGCTCACACTTGCTGTTGAGACTGAACCAATCCATGCCTTCTTTCAGGCTATGTCCATACAACACACTTAACCAGGTTAAAGATAGCTTGTTAAAGTTGATTTTAACCTTGATCCTTTTTTTCTTTTTGATTGCTTTGCCAAAAAAATACATATTCCAGCCCTTTCAGTTCATTGATGGTGCAATATACTCTTTGAACTTAGGAAATGAGTGAACACAGTAACTGAACTGAGCGTGTGGCATGAATGCAACTTCCATGTGTAAAGGCAAGGATTTGCTGCTATCCCACTATATTGTTTGAATATTAAGGGTTGCCATCTCCATTGTGTTCCTCATCGTTTGTTACAGGAATGTCCCAAAAAGTAAATTATTTACTGTGTCATCTCAGTGTCATTAATCTGCCAGAATTCCTAGTCAGGGTGGCCACCAACAGAATATTTGAGCAGATCTATTGTCTTAGAAGGTAAACTAGCCAATCAGGGTTGGAAGCTAAGTGGGGTCATATCCAGTTTGAGGATCCGCTTGGATTGTAAATTATATAAGAAAGTTTTTTAAAAAACAGAAGAAGACAATGGCAAATTCCTTTCATACTCTTTACCAGAAAATTGCACAGGTGTCTGTGGTCACCTGGAACCCAGCTTGACTCAAAGGACACTTTCCTTTTTTGGCATGTTTAGCATACACATAAGAAACTGTGGTTGCCTTGCTCCGTCTAGTGGTGAAGATACACAAGTGAATTTATGCCTTAGTGCATGGGAAGCACACCAAACACATGTGAATACAGCATTATTGCCCCATGTAATGCTATATATTTTCAACTTCATGCATTTTTGTTTTGAGAATATCATGTGAAAAAGACCCATTACTATAAGAAGACCAGAGAGGCATCTCTCTTTTGGGGAGAGATGGGCTGCATTGCATACTCCAAAAAGAAGGGAGAGCCAGGATGGAAAAATGGTTGGAGTCAGGACAAAAACAAATATTAAAGACAGTTGCTATAATTACTTCCCATGTATTAAATCATTTTGCCATTCTGTCACATTAGAAATTATGATTTGGTAGCAATGTTTGAAGGAGCTTTGTTGCCTTCACCCAAAATGTTTGGGGACCATATCTGATCTCCAGTTGGGTATCCTGCACTAGCTAAATTGGGCCAGGAAAGGGCACCCAGCCTTGCACAACAGAGCCAACTCAGAGATGCAAGTCTTCCCTTCACTTGGTTGCTGTGTTTTTAATAACTTCTTACTTTTGAAAGGATAAAGTCTTCTGTGTTTGATCTGTGATGGTCATTCCCATGTGGAGGTGTCACCAAATGATGAGTTGTTTAGGTGAGCAAGACCCCAAACTTACAATATCCCAAGGACTACCCCTTTGTCTTGGCTTGTTTAGGAAGCCATGAACTGGAGCAGATGCAGCTCATTTTAGAAACGATTCCTGTTTTCCATGAAGAGGACAAGGAAGAGCTGCTCAAAGTGATGCCAACTTTCATCAATAGCACCTGGGAGGTGAAAAAGCCATTACGGAAGCTTCTTCCTGAAGTGAACAGCAAAGGTAAGGGGCCTTGGCATTTGGTGAGAGTCACTGAGATGGGGAGGTCTCCTTTGCTGGAAAATCTACTTATCCTAGTTAGGCTACATAAACAGCATGCTCAGTTTCAATGAGACCCCATCATTCTACATTCATTTCCCCGATCAGCCACAGCTTTTTTGAGAAATATTCTGTGAAGTTAAGCTGGTGCTGTAGACTTGATCATACCTCTGATGGGAAGATCACTGGAAAATTGATGTAAAAGAACATACACATAGACTAGGGAGCTAGTATCATGCAGTGGTTTGAACATTAGAGTAAGACCGAGAAAACAAATGAAAATCCTCACTTATGGGGTGATCTTGAACCTGTTAATTTAATTTATCTTGGATGGTTATTGTAAGAATAATAAAGAGAATCTATCTTCTGGGTAAAAGTCAGGGTCCAATTGCACTTCACCATAAAAAGCCTACTAATAAGATCTGTTTAATTAGTAGGCAAAACCCGCATGGCTTTCCTGGGGTGGCCCATCTTTAATGGAAAGTCCTATAGTGTGTGTATATACGTGTGTGTATGTATACAAACACACAGACACACACACACACACTCATTCTTCAAGCTGAGCTCAATTTCTGGTGATCTCATGGAGACATCCATGAAATTATTAAATGGGCGTAGAGATTTAGATATTCCAATCAGGATGCCCAGCTTTATTTGATCAATTCAAGTTTTAATATCACTGTTATTTTAAAGGCTCTACTGCTGTTTCTGAGTTTTTAATTGCTTCAAAGGTTATTTTGTAAACTGCCTTGAGAAGATTTCACCTCAAATGTCAGTGTAAAATGAACGTCAAAAAAGTTTTTAAAATAATGTATGAAAGATCCTTCAGGTTGTTCTAAACTTGTACCAACTTTTTCACTTTGCAAAAATTGAAACCCAAACATTCTATAAAAAGCTTCTCCTTAAACCAAACTGGAATATATTTATTTTTTGCCTGCAATCTTAAAAACAAATTGTAACCATCAGAAATCAAAGGCCTACTGTACTTTTTGATATTTGACCTGTTCTTTGATGATAATGTATAGTGATGTCCCACAGTAAATATTTGAAGTATTTTACCCACCCCCTGTCTGCATTTCCAAGTTAATGTCTTAAAAGAGTATTTAAGTAACTTAATTGTGTTTGGTTGATGCAAAAGTAAAGGCCAATGAATAGAAGCCTAAGGACTTCTGAGAGTGTTTTTAGGATAGGAAGCACCAATTTCAGAGCCATTTACTCTTCAATTGCACTGTTAGTGACAATCCAAAGACACTTATGGGAGACAAAGCTTCACTGAACACAACAAAGCTAATTTTTTGGAAAAGCAAGTTTAGGACTGGGCTCGCTGTCATGTTTGTCCAAACACCCATCTCCTTAGTTTCAGGAGTAACTCTTAATTTTAAAAGAACACAGGATTTGCCACTTGTCCAAAACTCATATTTCCCACTAAATATAATTAGAGATCTGCTTTTGAATCAAGAACAAGAACACTCCATAGTTAATGGATGTGGAGAGTAAGGAGGATGACCTTGATGGAGATGTGCAGACTCCATTGCCAAGGCAACAAGGGATAATACATTTTTTGAAGTTGAGAACATCTAGGTAACATTTGGAAGCAGCACAGCCACCTCCCTAGTTCACTGAACTATAAGGAGGAGGAGCTCAATCAGACTTGCACATTTCTATTGTTATAGCCAATCTCAATAAAAGTAGGTTTAGCCTCCTGGCGAAGTTGATTTCCTGGTCTGGTCTACCTAGAGAGACTGACAGTGGAGCTTCAAGGTTAATCTGTTCTCTGATTTCAGAAGGGATTCCATTTATTGTGCAGATAATGTACTCACAAGACTGGGGAAGGGGCTGTACTCTTGGTTTGATTATATATCTGCCTCTTGCAGCTATTGACTTTTTGGAGAAGATACTGACATTTAATCCCATGGACCGGTTGACAGCAGAGATGGGCCTTCAACATCCTTTTATGAGGCCATATTACTGTCCTGAGGATGAGCCTGTTTCCCAGCACCCTTTCCGGATTGAAGATGAAATTGATGACATTTTATTGATGGAAGCTAATCAGAGCCAGATGTCCAACTGGGACAGGTACATTTATTCACTAGGTTGAATTGTGCAGGAGCACAGAATGTCTGAGAGCAGAATCCTACTCATTAGACAACTTTCCTTGCTTTCTTCTTTACTTTTTAAGTTTCTAGCCCTTTTTAGAAGCTCTGGCTGTTAAATCTATGGCAAAGGTTGATAAACCCTCAGAAATCTGTGAAGTTAGTAATTAAGATTTCAAGAGGTTGAAAATTGGGTTTCTTCTTCCCCTGTCATGGGCTAGCGGTACATGCCATCAAATAAACTGAATGATGCAAAACAAAGAAAATTATGCAAATATTAAGATAATCTGTAGCATTGCACAATTTTGTTTTGTACTTTGACTTCTTTTGTGTGGAATTTTATATTTTACTGATTTTTAGTACAGAATGCAAATAAACCCTGAGAATCCAAATTAAACAAGATGAGGCATCGCTTGATATTACTCAAAGTTTCTGTCGCTGTCTAGGACAGGAACATCAGCCGCAGGGGTGAAAAGCTTTAAAATCTTTCAGAAAAAAAAATAAAGGAAGAAGCCCTCCAGCTGGTGATGGGAATATTTTACTAATATGTGCAGTATTTAATTTGTGTCTAACACTGTAGTTATTTCAAATAAATAGATATCAAGTAAGCTTATCCTCGGATTTGGAATGGCGACAAGAGAAATGCCATGATTTGGACGAGGTGCAACGTGATCCCCGAGCAGGATCAGAATCTATTGCTGAGGAAGCTCAAGTGGATCCACGCAAATATTCGCAGAGTAGCTCAGAAAGATTTTTGGAGCAATCGCATTCTTCAATGGACCGAGCGTTTGAAGGGGATTCTGGGCACTCATGTGATTATAAGGTGGGGTCACCTTCTTACTTAGACAAGTTGCTGTGGCGAGACAACAGGCTCCACCATTACTCTGAACCCAAGCTCATTCTAGACTTGTCCCACTGGAAAAGAGCATCTATTGCACCCGCAGCAGAGATAACTCTAGAAGAAGAACCATCCAACCTTTTTCTAGAGATCGCACAGTGGGTAACGAGTACCCAGACGGGACTCGAATGTCCCAATGCTCTTCCGGAGATTCAGGAACGGAGTTTGCCATCTTCTCCTCCGCATCTCCACAAAGAACCTAAGGAGGTTGACAAGAAAACTGACCCTCAGTTTGACCTGGATGTCTTCATTTCCAGGGCCTTAAAACTTTGCACAAAGCCGGAGGATCTGCCTGATAACAAACTCAAAGACATCAATGGAGCCTGTCTAGCAGAACACCCAAAAGAAATTGTACAGACAGAAGGGTATCATAAAGAGAGGTGGTAAATAAAGGGACAGAAGTAGGCTTATAGTATCCATGGCTAGTCTCCTCTAAAATTCAGTTTTAACACAGTACCCACAGAGTGATGAATTGTTACCAAGGTTTGAATGCACATGGAACACATCAGCTCTTTATCTGATAATTGTTGGAATGCCTTCAAATTAAAGGCAAGCACAATCCAAGATCTCGTTTTCTATGTCTTGGGAGCTACCTAAAAAGTAATCTGGAGATGTGAATGAAATACTGGGATTTTTTATGCTGCCTTAACAGTCTTGCCTTTACCTGTGGACATCAGCTTTCAGTCCAGAAAAATCCTTAAATCCAAAGGATGCTTTTCTGTTAATTCTGCAAGTATTTCATTCTGTTATGAGAATCATGCAGTGTTAGAGATTTTCCTGTGGAAAACCAGGCACCTCAGTTTGGAAGTATATGATCCATACTGGCCTGGCACTTTTCCTGAAAGCCCAAAGACTTTAATGTTTATTTCCTCTGTCATCCTTACTGCTACCTTTGCAAGGCCGGGCAGAATTACTATCCATGCATTTCATCAGCTATCCATAACCAAGCAGCCTCCAAATGTGTGGAACTTGCAAAGCTCAGAATTCCCACCCAACACAACTTTGGGAAATCTAGGGATTGCAGCCAGAACTCACGCAAGTGGCCCTAGATTGGGGAATGCCAAATTACAGAATGAAGCATTGGCTTAGAGCAGTGTTTCTCAACCTTGGCAACTTGAAGATGTGTGGACTTCATCTTCAAGTTGCCACGGTTGAGAAACACTGGCTTAAGAGGCATGACCTTACCAATTAATTAGCTGATGGCTGAGTTGAGAGCTGCAATGAGAAGTTTTGACATATGGCTCCTGCTCGTAACTATGGCATAGTAGTAGTTTGCTAGCGAGGGACCATAGCTGACTAGGAGATGTGTGCAGGAGGGTTTCTGTTACCTTCATTCAGTAGAAATATCAATGTCCTCATAGCTAACTGTGGGTGCCCATCCAACTCCCTGTCCTGTCTTAATTAGGGTGGGTGAGTTGGTAAAGATTCTTTCAGTTGTTTAAATAATAAATGAAAGCTGGCAAGCTGCAAAGCAAAACACCAGCTTATAGCATCATCTTTGGTTACCAAACCACATAGGCCTCCCTAGGATATAAAGACGTGTGTCTGTGGCCCAGAGCTTTGTTTAGGAGTATATCCACCCGCCCAGAAAAAAGGATAGATCACCTGAACATGATAAGGGAGTCTGGATAAGGTAGGCTGGATTTTTAAAAATTGCCCCTTTATCCATCTCCACCCTCTAGTGGGCTCACCTTCGGTCTGTTCTTTAAGTTTGATTTGCTTCGGTCTCCCCTCCTGATGGAGTACATATCTGTGCCGCAAAAGTCTGGACTACTTGGTGGCCTGTGAAGAGTTATTGTTTTCAGCATCCCTTTGCTGGTCATGGATCATCAGAAGTTTTGCAGCACAAATATTGGAGTCCTCCCTCCCAGTGGCACACGGATAGGACTTAGGCAGTAAGACTACACATTAGATTGACTTGGCTAGCTGCCAAGGAGTCCGGATGGAGTCAAGGCAGAATGGTCTGGGCAGGAAGAGAGCGAGGAAGGGAAACCGATACGTAGCTGTGCTCTGAGGCAACTTTGCAAAGATTTCTTCTTTCTCTTGATGGCGCTAAATGCAAATTTTAAAAGTTTAGTACCAGAACAGCTAATGCTGCCATGACCTGCTAGTAAAAAAGCCAAAAATCCCACATGTGTTCATGTATGAGTATATGTGCTTGGTGAGGAGAGAAGACAGAGAAAGTAGTGCATGTATATGAGAGAGAAGTGTGAATGTGTGTGAGGGGGAGAGGGTATGTGTACACATCCAGCTTTTCAATGATTTAGCTTTTGTTACTTGGAGGTATATTTAGTTGTAACAAAAATCACATCCTTTCTTTTGCCATATCCTCCTTTTCTAGCATATTTTCTTGGCCACTCTTAGATTAGAAGGGGATGGAAAGCAACTTCACCAGCCCTTTTGTGAGGTTCTGAGTCCCCTGGTGTCTTCTCAAAATTCCAGATCCAACCACCATCTCTAGAAGGTTGCTGTTTCCCATTTGTGTGGAAACCTTAGTTCAAAATACATCCAGCACCTTAATAAGTATTGAACATGGCAAGTTGGTAAAATTCTCTTGGCTGAAAGTTCATCAAAATGTGTTGAAGACTTTTGGAGAATTGACACAGATAGATGGCAAAAGCAAAAGGTGAATTCTAAATTTTAAATTTGAATGCTCCATTGTTACCAAATGTTGAACTTGTCTAGAAGCTGGTTCTGATACAACCAGCAAGTTTTTGAAAAACTGGGAATTAGGCTAAGAGTTCAAATGATAGAGATGGTCTTGTCAGACAATCAAAGTTCTGAAATAGAAACACGCTTTGCACCGAGGCTGGTGGTTCTTTGTCTGGCACACATTTTAAGAAGTAGATTCATGGTGGTCTCCCAGAATTATTAAAAACCAAACGTTTGCTCACTGAGGTACAATTACAGTACATGGTAAAGGAATCAATTAAAATTTCAAAGGAACTTAGCTAATTAAATAAGCATGCAGTGAATCTGTTTCATTCACATTTCTGTGCACCTTATTAATTGGTTGAGTTTAATGCATATATTGAAAAAAGTTGTTTACTTCTGCTTAATCACTTGATCATTTTTTAAAAAAATATTGAAAATCTGTAAATAGTATGCACTTTGCTTTAAAATACTTACTTGCGTCTTTTTGAAAATTGATTTAATGTCTTCTGTTCAAATGAAAAATGTATCCTGCTGACTATTTAGCTTTTAAAAGGCTCAGATATTACTTCCGCTGGATCCGCAGTTGAGAAAATATCTTTTAACAGGAATGCTCAAAATACGGTATGATGTCACATATCATTAGAACAGTGACAGAAAGGAATAATATATTTTGCTTGTACTGTGACTTTTTTATACTGTGGAACTGACATTGCTATCAAGAACATTCTTTCCTTTAAAAAAAGGGAGAAAAAAATAATTTTTTGTTGCGAGAAAGAAGGAATATGTATAAATGAAGGAAAACCAATAAGAAAGCAATGTATGATGTTTTATATTAATAACCAATGTTTCTAGCATCAGCCATCTTCAAATATGGTTACAATTTTAGCTTTGTGGCCTGGGTTTTAACTGCATGTAGTATTTATTGGGCAGGAGTGAAAACATTATTCTTTGCAGCTGAACTGCATGTTCAGAAAAAATATATAACACAATTGCTGAAAAAAGATGCAGATTTACAGTTGTCAGTACTTTCCTTCTGTTCTGCATTGTTAGCTTTAAGTAGAGATGACACAGAGGAACAGTTGAGGAAAATATATACAATATGTTCAGGTATTTAGAACATGGTCTAGAAAGAGCAACATGAAAAAACTCTGGAACAAATGTTCTGAAGTATTAATATACCTCAATCACAGCAGAAAAATGTAAACTAAAAAACCTTCTTGAGCCTAATTCAGACTTTGATAAAATGGGCACGGTATCCATCAGTTTATGATTTCCTGTGCTTTGGCAATTTGTATTTATATCCTTGAATAATGTATTAACAAACTTAAGCAAATTATTATTTATGCATGTATTGCTCTGGAGGAATTTTCTGACTGCCAGCCAGTGGAACAGATTGCCACATGAAGTGGTGAGTTCTCCTTCCCTGGAGGTCTTCAAGCAGAGGTTGGAGGGTCATCTATCAGAGATGTTCTGGTGGGTCCTGCACTGGCAGGGGGTTGGACTAGATGACCTGTGAGGTCCTTTCCAATTCTAATGATTCTATAGCAGGGTTTCTCAACCTTGGCAGCCTTAAGCTGTGTGGACTTCAACTCCCAGAATTCCCCAGCCCAAGGTTGAGAAACACTGTTCTATAGTCTTCTGGGTTCTGCTATTTGTCGTCTTTGCTGTCCTAGCTTGGTCATTGGTTCCCTGACTATATCAGCCAGCTTTCTACAGTACTGGACTTTTCAGATATATGGGATCTCAAGGCCCATCACTTCCACACTGAGCATTATGGAAATGGAAATCTAACAGAAGGAAAATTGACAGCGAGTTAAGTGTGAGGAGATGGGGCAGATCCTTCAGCTGAGTTCTGGGCAGATATGCTGATTAAGCCCAGCCCTAAGGAAGAAGTTAGGGGAAAGCTAGGAGTCAAGTAAGGTCCCTCATTTGCTGGAGTTGCGATAGTACTTAGTGTTGATCCACCATTCCAAAAGCTGCTCAAGCCATTGGGCTGATAACACTTACAGTTTTCTGTCTAAAATAGACAACAGAACTGGGGATTGATAAGGCATTAAAAGTTAAAATCTCCTTTAAGTACAGCTTGACTCTTGATAACTTTATGGACAAGCCCATACAGTTTCCTTGGCTGGAAAACATAAGTAGTTTGCTACTGCAATCTTCAGGATTTTTTTGAAACTTCTTGGGATGGGCTTATGGTCTCCCATCCAAATACTGATCCTGCATAGCTTTTGAGCCTGAACAAGGGCATCCATGTGCAGCCACTCCTTAGTGGGTCATAATTCATGGTTAGGGAAAAAGAGCATTTAACTGAGTCAAAAATTGTGTACTGTAGGCTACTTGAAATGAAAGTCTTAATGGGAGGAGGAAGAAACGAAACATTAATTTGCACACCTGCCTTTCATTTTAGGGGGAAATTACCCCCTTGGGGAGGGAAATGAGAGACGTGGGTAAGTACATTGTTGAATTGCCAGATGTAGAACTAGAGATGATATAATTGGGAATCCAGTCCTAGGAGGTAGTGGCCAGCCTTGTTGGGATCAGAAATGGTTAGTCTTTGGATGGGAGACCACCAGGGAATCACAGGCTGTACACTATAGTAGGAAGGCAAGAAACATTCCAGAAGAAGGCAATTACAAACCAATTCCATAGTGTTGCCAGGAGAATTGCACAGAGGTACTGTATGTTCATAAAGTTACCCATAACTAAGCTTGATTCAACGGAACCTTTTTATTCTTGCTATCTTCTGTTGGCAGTGGCTACATCATTCTTGGTTACTTGTGCATTTAAATCACCTGCTGTCTGTTAACTACGTCTCGGTGTGATTGCTGAGGTCCATCAGGCCACGCTGATGGGGTTGCTAACATCGAAATGGCTTTAGCACTTGCCTCCAGCTCCAGACACACACAGTTGATTTATAAATCAGCTGATTTGGAAATAGAGTGGATGAAGCGGGTCTCCTTTATCCTACAAGCACCTTGAGGCTCACTTCAGTCAGGCAACCTTCCGATAGGTTGGCACTGCGACATCCAACTTTCCCTGTGCTGTAGCATCCCAACACATCTAGAAGGTGCTAAATCAAAGTAGACTGGCTGGCGAGTCTAAAGCTTCCAGCATGATTGCAGAGTTGAACTGTATCTATTTGGGCTAACTCTGATCACTGTAACTACTATGCCACACTACCCTGTTTCTTTAAAAAAAAAAAAAAAAGCAATGAAATAAAAACACAGTTCACCCTCTTCACTAGAAAGGGGTTCTCAGTTTGCTTTGTTATGATGGATAACTTGATATGCTAGACGCCTAACCTGAAGATGGGTGAAGACCTCCGCTTCCATTTATCTTCAAAGCGCTTTGACTCTTCTATGCATCCCTTCTCTGGCTCATATCCTGAAAAACGGAGATTGAGAGAGAAGCATCTCCAAAGACGAGATCTGGCTCCAGGGTTTTCTTCTAAGAGCAATTCAGA